AGGTATTTATAAGGTTTTACAATGTATTTTAAAAGGTTTTACAACGTATTTATAAGGTATTTATAAGATATTATAAGATTTTACAAGCTATTTTATAAGGTTTTACAAGTTATAAGATTTTACAAGTTTTTTATAAGGTTTTACAAGTTGTAAATACTTTATAAAACCTTATAAGTACCTTGTAAAACCTTTTAAAATACATTGTAAAACTTTACAAAACACTTGTAAATACTCTGTAAAACCTTTAAAATACCTTGTAAATTTTTCCCGCCAAAAATTTTCCCGCCAAAAATTTAACGCCAAAAAATTTGCGGAATCACTTTTCCCGCAAAAAAAAATTTTTGGCGGGAAAATTTTTTGGCGGGAAAAAATTTTACGGGAAAATTTTACAAGGTATTTTAAAGGTTTTTACAAGTGTTTTGGCGGGAAAATTGGGGGATCACTTTTCCCGCCAAAAAATATTTTGTATTTTGTGGACCTAATTTTGTTTCAAATAAAGGTAAAATGGTCATTAAAAATTAAAAGAGGGCAAACTTAAAAATGGACTCTCAAAGGGGGCATTTTTGAAAAGGGGTATTGAAAAAGGGGCATTTTTAACAATTTCTCAAAAAAGTTACACATTATCTTTGGTAGTTCAAAACTCAAACAAACAAGCATCGATTTAGAAAAAATTAAAAGAACAAGCATTCTCTTGTTAATTCGTGCTATGCAATCAGCTTATTTTTTGATAAATCCTATCGGCTGATCCGGTCAGCCTCGGTAGGAATGCACCGAGGTGCTACAGAGTGGACTTCTCCCGCAGTTCAACGGTTCAACGATTCAACGGACACCATGAGCTCCGAGCGGACTTGGGTCGAACGGGCCATGAGATCCAGATTTGGGCCACCACACTGCCTGATCCGAGTTTGGAGTGTCTTCCGACTAATGTCAGGGGGTAGTCAGGCTGCCTGCATTTCTGACTACCAAATAAACCAATTGGACTAAGGCCCAACTGACAGACTTCCCAAATAAATGTGTTTTTGTTTCCAGGGAGAATCGAACTCAGGTTTAGGAGTTTCACCCTTTCCCAAAACTTCCTCTGCCACTAGACCACAGATGCTCGGGCTATGCAATCAGCTTAGTGTTGAGGCTATCGATAAATAATCATGGAAGGTGACTGCAATGGTTATTATAATGATCTACTCCAAATCCTTACTAAGGGATGCAAATCTAGAAATCATGTTGGATGACATTTGAATATGGCTGATGACCAGGTTCGCAGAGTTGTCTTTAGCTTATGTCCCATGATCGATATTCAAATAGCATACCATTTGACAAAATTGGCCCACCAGCAACCCATTACAAGTTCACTGTTAACACCATGTAGTTCATTTTCACATACAAAGATATTATGCACGTGGAAAATACGTAATTTATGTGAAAAATGAACTAATTGTCTACGTCACGGAATGAACAATTACAATACTCCACGTGCTTCATTTCTCTAACAGGTATTGTTTTCAATCCATTCAATTGGCGCACGTTGGAAATTGTTTGAAAGTTATTTTCTTTGTATTTACCTTTCTGTAATTTCATCCTCCCAAATTTCTTTTACAAACCATCGAAAGCAATGAGGTCATGTCTCTTTAATTTGGCTACAAGCCTAAAAAACTATTCAAACTAATATGAACTAACAAATAGAAAAGGAAATAATCAAAATTAGGATTCTGACCAAGGTAGTTTTTCAAAGTTTTATCTTTTTATTAAAAATGAAGCAATCAAAAGAACTAGATTATTTCAATAGGGAAAGTCAGCTATACGGCGTATAGTGCAACTAATACATGACCCACATATAACGACAATCTTAATCTAGAACACCGTTCGTCGAAATCCAGCGTTGACCGGCATTAACCAAGAAAATATTCAAATTTTTTTTTTTAATGCTGAGATGATACTAAACAATTCATGAAGATAGAATACCATTTAAGAGTCAAAGTAAAAAAGAGAAGAAAAATACAGAAGATAAAATGTTATTGGTTAAGATATTAGGAAAAACTTAGAGACAATAAAAACACTTAAATAAAGAGATGACAAGATCGTCTATGTGTATGTGGGGTGTTTCAAGATTAGATTAGGATATTGTTGATGTGATTTGATAAGGTCATACATATTATTGTTTATCAATTTTTACTTAAATATGCTTAGAAATAGTACTATTATACCACAATAACCATAAACAAAGAAACATATAAGTCCTATGATACTTGTACTACTTTATGTTTATTGTGCTTTCTTGGAATAAATAGAATCTCTTAGACAATCAAATTTGACAAGTATCTCCTAGCAATGTCTTTTCTAATTTCATTCTCATGATCTTCAATCTTGTATGTTCAATTAAGAGTCACATCCACAATGTTCATACCCAAACAGAGATATTGGTGTCCAAAAAGCTTGTTGGGACTGCCTTCAGACAGCTCGGTGAAGGTTTTAGGAACGGTCATGAGAGGTCTTCCATTGCCCGGTTTCAAACTCAAGAATAATGTTGGATATTTAAGTGTACGTGATATTGAAGTGTACGTACATCGTCGGTTATTCACGAATGTTGGATATTTAACTGTACGTACATCGACGGTTAGTGTACGTACATCGACGGTTATTCACCAACCATCGCACCTTTTGGTACAAACGGTTATTATATTAAATGTACGGTTGCAAACGTACGTGAAGACCGTTG